CTCCTTGTATGCGATATACTGTGATTAAAGTGAAATTAACCGCGAGATTTGAATGGGTATTATTTGCTTTGTGGGTTCTCTATCAGGTGCTGATAATCTACATTTTATATCAATCCGTTATGACTTCTATCTGATGATGCCTAATGTCCTCAACATCAGTAGCTACATGAAGAAAGTATGTGTATTCGTGTTATTGTCATAGTCTCTGGCAAAACTAGACGATTACAAAAAATCTTTTCTTCTCTTGAGAGTAGTTTTAGGCTTTGTCAACACCAATATGAATGTTATTATAATCTTCGGTATGTTTACTTAATGAGGTCACATTGTTTATTGAATTTCAGCCTTTCAAGTCTGTCAGTCATTGAAGCTTAATATATTATTTGATATATGGAAATTATCTAATCACGATTCACTGAATCACGAGTATTTGTGCAATGACCTTCGTGAAGCTGACATTTTGGTAATTTCCAAGGGTGTCTGGGTGCTAAATATATATTGGATTCAAGGAAATAAGAGCTTTAGGTAATTAAGTTATTGTGGAAATATACGTAAAGATTGGCAATCCAAGTTTTTCATAGCCTTGTTAATATTTTTTAGTTCATTATTGCGAAGTCTGTTTTTCTATTAACCACTCGATAATGTTAGGATAAAAACTAGATAAAGATAATTTCATAATTTCAGAGGTAGATAAATTTCTATTGCCTGATCCTTAAATAATATTTTATATATATGTGCGGAAATATATATTTGTATACGCTATGGGAAAAGGACCTTTTTCAATCAAGTAACCCATTTAAAGACAAAGCAATTAAAAAAAAAAAGAAACAAAGAGCAATGATATGCTGAAATACAAAGTGCCTACGTCAAATTTTTATATTTGTCTATACGTCTTTTAATAAAACTAGCTGCTCATTCCAACAAGGGGTTACATATATTTAGTTTTTTTAACCGACTTCCCAAAAAGGAGCAGTTTATCTATTCGGCTGTGTTTTTGTCAAAATCACTTTTCCTATTTCCTCTCATTTCTAAACTTTCACAGTTGTTGGTCCACCGTCCAGCTTGCGCACGAGCATTGCGTAGATCCATAATAATTGATTGATGCGCCTGCGCAGTATACGTACGTGATAAGTTATCCAGCTCAGTGCACTTTCACTGTTACTCAGTATTACACTATTACTTAGTTCCAGGAAAAAACGTAAAGAAAATTGTGTATTTTACTTTGTTTTAAGTTTTCACTGAAGCACCGGTTTATTTGTGACGATTTAGTTTGGAGAAGATGCATTACAAATTACATAGGTTCACTATGTTTTGTTCCTATTATTCTACTAGCGAGGCCTGCGTACGCAAGAAGATTATAGTCGTCTGGAAATACCAATCTCTAACATTTTCAGTTTTGTCCAAGGCTTTCAGGGTTTACGTTAGTGGTTTCCAAAGCTTTGTAGATTGTTATAATGTATACAATCATTTACAATGATAAGACATTTAAATCAAATCTAGTCTGGTTTTAGATGATGCTTGAGCAAAACAAGTTGTTTTCTTGTTGAATGAACTGCCCTTATGCGAAGGGCTTCATGTGATGCATAACATTTGATCCCTAACTTTACATAGGTCACTACCCTTCCTTAGGAACTCCAGCAAAAAGAGTAGATGCGAATAGATATGTAGTGTTTTGTTAATATTAATTTGGACATGACTCATGATACAGTTTCAGCACTATACCTACTAGACATGAAAGTAATTACGAGGTATGACAGAATAAAGAGAAAGGCGGTGCTATACCTAGACTCATGCATTGATACATTTATAAAAATATATATTTTATGATATCGTTGACATTAGAGTTTGTAACCAAACAAATGTTTCGCATATTGTAAAAATTTTGCCAAACAATAATGACGCTTAATATACATCATTTTAAAGCTTACCTTTAAATACAGTTCCAAATTCACAAAATCACTGTTCACAAACACAACACTGGAACACAAAATCCAAATTCAAATGTGACGGAAGCGGATCGTTGGTAACTTCCGTTCGGTGACATGAGCGCGGAGTGAGTGAATGAAGTGAACTGAACGATTGCGAGCGGTGCACGCGATATACCTCCCTTTTTGAATTCGAATTTCGAACGCCTATGTTTCATAGTTGAATGAATACAGACTGCAGCATATCAAAATGACTCGTATATTGATTGATAGATTTTCAGTTTTATTGTTAAAGTGTAGAGTTGAAAATTAATTGCAAAATATTAGAGATAGGATAGCTTGATGTGCTAGCGTCACCATGCGTGGTGTAGGTTAATGAGCACTGGTGATTCAAGGTCAAAATATTGTTCCCTGTAATAAAGTAATTTAATGATAGACGGTGATTGGTTGGGTAGTCACAGGGAGAGCTTCCAAGTTCGATTCCGTGATCCGCCAAAATATGGATATAATCTTTAAGTATTTATAAAGCAATAATATTATCATAAATAAATTATATTTTCCAAGAAGTTTGCAATCTTACAACCATCAAATACGGCGTTCAGACATGCTACGTTTCGTAGCACCGCCGTAGCATGTAGCTGTTTGTGATTGTTATTATTTATTACACATAACATAAAACATAACATCACCCCTTTTATCCCCGAAGGGGTAGGTAGAGGTGCACATAGCGGCACTTAATGCTACTGTATAATGTAACACCCACTTTTCACTATTTATGTATGAGTCCCATGTAATAGGGGGTGAGCCTATTGCCATATACTGAGACCCCTTGCCAGACTGTCGCACTTGCAACCACTCGGCTAACGAGGCAGTCAGTTTATTGTTACAGTTATGCACAAAATCATATTATTAATGAAAATAGGTGTTGATTACATTTAAAGATGAGTTAATATTATTAACATGATTTTGGTTTCAATCCAAACTACCCTCTGTAAATCTTTAAACATATTAAATAATCATAAAAATCGCAAATACATCATACAATAATAAAATGAAAGAGTATAAGTACTTATGTTAAAGAATTAACAGGCCATTTAAATTAACATTAGCTGGCAAACTGGCCAATTACTAGGCCTAAATTATTTTACAAGTCACTTGACAGGCACTTGGAAATACCTCATAACATTTTGTCAGTATCCAACACACAAGGTCTCATTCTACAAATGCCCCTGAACATTAAAACCATACAGAACCCCCTGCTCTTCGAATGCTGTATGACACACGACAGACGACACAGCAGGTGGTCATTGTACCATGACACGTCACATGCTCGATAGGCGCCCGCTACTGATGCGCCCTCTAACGGACACAGCTGCGTGAATTAACTTGTGTGTTATCGGGCCGGTAGGGTGTAGAATAACCGTTACTTTGTCAGTTATTGATAACTAGGTTAGAAATGCTTCGCTGGATAAGTATTAAGTACAAGAAAGGGTAAGCACAGTTCTCAGGATTGTGCATGTTTGTAAGATCGTTAAGAATTACGGATCATTTATTGTCCTTTATTTTTCTGTTTGATTAATGTGACGCTCCCCCTAGGTAGGTGGTTGGAAGTCAACAGTACCTTGAAATTCAAATTTCCGTTAACAATCTCCTTAAAAATCTACTCCAAAATCGAACGCTAGACCACAACCTCTACCAACCAGACAGTTAGATTGAGGAAGTCCGCCCCTTTACGTTTCTCAAACGAGTGACAAATGCGGATTTTTCACTATGAGGTCAAATCCACTATCAGATATTTTTTTAAGGAATATTCCGGTAAACGAGCAGACGGATCACCTGATGGTAAGCAATCGGCGTCGCCCATGGACACCTGGCACACCAGAGGCGTTACAAGTGCGTTACCGGGCTGTCATAAAATATTGACAGTATGGATGTGATGTGAGAACCTCGGATTGTCACGCATGTAACACCGATTATAACAATTACATTGCGAAGTTGCGTTAAAATGTTAATTCCATCATGGCCAGACGTGCTAGGCCTGTCGAGCTAGCTTAAAGTTGGGTGCTTTGTTGTTTGTATATAACTTGATGATTATTATATTTAAGCACACTTTAATGTTTGATGAATTATAATGTCAGCCATGCAGATGGGTACAGCTCCATCAGGAGCTCAAGAGTGAGCTTCATCTAGCAAATAATGAGTAGTATCATTTGTTTTTAGTCCCAGTGGCATAAATCAGCAGGTTTCAAAAAGTTGCAGTAGTCTTGCAAAACCAACACATCGACCAACTCACTTTTTTCATGTACCCCTTGGTGGCAACCCTATCCGTAACGGTTCCGAACGTGACTAACGCGACATTTGTGTTTTGAAAACGCAAAACGTATAAAAAGCGAACGTCGCGACTCGTCGGTTACGCTCGGCGCGCAACATCAGACATTTTGTCGGAGTTCCGACCTCTCGGGGATGTGACGAAATGAACACAAACGCTCATCAACATTTCCGTTTTGACATGCATAATTTAATTAATTAATTAATTATTATGAAACTGAGATAGGTAATAAACCAGGTTTATCTCAATTACCTGTGACCATTAAAAGTTATGTTATTTATTACGTATGCAAAGGTTACATTTTAACTCGTCGAGTACCGGTTTTGTAGACACAATTATAGAACAATAGGTTGCGGTCACCGGTGACCGCTTGGTGTTTGACAGTTTAAGAGGAGTAATTAATTTAAATTCTATTATTACTAAATAAAATAAAAATAAGTTTGTTTATAAGTTTTAACACAACAACACCACTTAGTAACGCCATCTATGTTCACAGTTGTCAACTACAGATAGGGAGATCAGAACTTACATTCCCTCACAACTTTAATAGATGTCGCTGCAATGCATATACTAACTACGAGTTTCCCGCGCTTTTCCGCACAACGTACTTTTATTTTTTCAGCACTTTGTTATATGTTTTTGGACAAGATTTAAAAAAGGTTTGTTTATTTACTTTTTACTTTGTGATAAAAAGTTAGTTTCAGATAAAGTTTTATAGAGCATGTGAAAATTGATAAATAGGTACTTACTTGGGCCATGACATTCCATTCGCTACGAGGTAGCACACTCCTGACACGATGCCAGCCAGCAGTCCGAGGCTGACTCCAGCAGACAAAGACAGTGTGTCGGGCATTCTGTCTCTTTTTTTACACACACGGTTCACTATTTTATGTCACTGTTGTTCTATAATTACTTAACAGTTTGAATTCAATCCATCCATCTTTGTGGCTTTATGGCTGTGTTTACCTGTGAGCAAGAAGAAAAAAAATTAAACTACTTACAAAACCTCACACATCAGCAGCTTTCGACAAACTGCTACTGAACTGATTGACTGCACGGTTGGTGCGGTGGCTGGGCAACTGGCTGCCGTGCAACGTGTCGCGGGTTCGATTTCCGCACGAGACAACACTTTGTGTGATCCACAAGTTGTTGTTTCGGGTCTGGGTGTCATGGTGTATGTGAACTTGTATGTTTGTAAACGCACCTACGACACAGGAGAAAATCCTAGTGTGGGACAACGTTTTTTTTTAAAAAAAAAAAGAACTGATCTCAATGCTGAATCGTAAGGACATACAAAAATATGCGATATCTCTGTATTTATCACAACTATCTATAAATTACAAGGTTTTTTATACGATATCGAGGATCATCCTGACCTTTCGTGACCCTAAGCTAAACTTAATTACCTAAAATTATATTCTACAGCCTACTGCTAGACTTAATAATAGGTTCTATTCAAAAACCCTGACCCTTTGCCCCTTTATATTTTTCATGCCCATTATAAGTAGTTAGTAAAGCCAAACCTACATAGTTAGGTTTTATTTGAGTCGAGGTCCAACTTAAATTTAATTTATAAAGTCATTTCATACCCTTCTCATCACATTCCATGGTCAGCCCTCGAAAGGGTCTAAATTCCAGGCAAATTGTCTATCATGGTCCATGGTCTTTGTATGCAAAGGTCGTGTCCACTAAATTCTTGTAATTCCAATTCTTAAGATAGAATTGTTAAACATTTTAGAGTAACATTTTATAAAAGAAATTGTTCATGTTTCGGTAATAGCAAAAAAGAAAAATACTTCGAACAAACACCTTCTTTCAATAAAAAAGTAAAAAAGAGAATAAATTTCCCTTAAGTATTTGAAGTTAGTCTGCTTAATCTAGAGGCGATTAATTGTTGTAGTTTGACCTTACTTTTCTTGTGACACAGTTTATTTATCCTCAACAAATACACATTCAAGAATTACTCAAATAACACAAAAGTACACCTCCAATGACAGATACAATTCATTTCACATGAAAACAATGATAACATAAATGGATTCACAATCTAACATCTGCAAAGCACATTCGAAGAAAATCAACATAATTACAATTGCAACGATGCAGTTATTGTGCCTGCAACCGGGTGACCCACCGGGGAATCTAGTGGCGAACAAATAGAAACGAACAATACTATATGTCTGTAAGAACTAGACACAGTAAGCACTGTTAGCCAACCCAATAAGATCAAGCTAAGCTTCACACATTATCTGATGCTGATGGTGAGCCAACAATGCAGTTCTCAGACTTACAACGGGATGGCACAATGCAAGTCAAAAGCCATGGGAGCTTCCCAACATTAAGGCTTGGGAGTCGTTTCTGGAAACTTCGAGAGAACACTATTAAGGAGAATTGATTCTTTTGGGTTTGCTGTTCTTGTAGTGATAGGCGTCACAAAATAATAATTATAATCATACTTGTATCCCTTTAGGGAAACAGATGACTAATATGTGTCACATGCTTAATATCATTACATGTATAGATTAAGTATTCGGAACAACTTCAAACCACTTCAATAGTTATTTGTTCCAGTAATTTGTTATCTATCAATTCCTTGTTCATTGTATATCAACGTTTGCAATAACAAAGGTACCTTTGTGATTTGTGATCGTGCATCAACGAATTTTTGATATATGTATGATTAGTCTACATAGGACAGAAAAGGTTGCGAAGATATTATTTTGATCAATCATACCCAACAATTCTTGTGAATTGTAAAAAGTCTTTATAAAGTTCAAATTTTAATTTTAAGCTTAAGTATCGCAAAAGGTCGATTGTTATTCACACATCAGTGGACTGTTGGGGATTGTGTAATTACCTACAATGTACATATAATTAGTATGGATGTGAGGACAGTATTGTATGGTGTCAAATCTGACACCTCGCCTATCAGTAATAATAATAATAATAATAATAAGCCCATTTATTTCCAACAACCTTAAATAACATTTTCTCTTAATATATAAATAACTATAACTATTATGTCATTGGAACCCCATGCTGGGTAAAGGCCTCCTCCAGCTTACTCCACAATTTTCTATTTCTTGCTTTTATTCTCCAATTTTTTCCAGCTACTTGAATTATCTCATCAATCCACCTGTTCCTTGGATGGCCTCTATTTCTTTTCCCCGCAGGTCCTTTCCATGTTGTGGTTTCTAATGTCCATCTCTTGTCTGTGTATCTCGCTATATGTCCAGCCCATCGCCATTTTTGTGTACGAGCATAATGAAGTACGTCTATTATGTTAGTTTTTTCTCTAATATTCTTGCTTCTTATCTTTTGATTTTTTCTTATTTTTAATATACTTCTTTCCATCGCTTTCTGACAGTTTGTTAGTTTTGTTTTTATTTTTGTGTTATACGTCCATGTTTGGCAGCCATAAGTGAGAGTTGGAAGAATACAAGTATCCATTACAGTCTTCTTCAGGTGAAGGGGGAAATTCCCTTTTAGAATTTCCTTTAGGCTCCAGTATCTTTTCCAGCCAATGTTCACTCGCCGTTCTATTTCTTCTTCTTCATTCTTGTTACTGAATGATACTTGTTTGCCAAGGTATATGTAGTTATTTACACATTCCAGTGCTTTGCCATATAGTTTGATGTTGGTGGTTTTGCTGTTTGTCATTACTTTTGTCTTATCTTGGTTCATTATGAGCCCAACTTTTTCGCTTTCTTCTCTCAGTGTGCTTATCATTTCGTCTAGTTTGTCATTGGTTTCGGCAAAAATCACAATGTCGTCAGCGAATCTTAAATGAGTTAGCCTCCTCCCATTTACTTTTATTCCGTGTGATGGCCAATGCAAGTTCTTGAAAATAATCTGTAGTACCGCTATAAAAAGCTTTGGTGAAACAGGATCTCCTTGTCTTACTCCCCGAAAAATTGGTATATTTGTTCCTCTTTTTTCCAGTTTTACCCTGCTGGTGCTTCCTTTGTAGATGTTTTTTAATACCTTTATGTATTTTTCTTGGATTTTACAGTGATCCAGGGCTTCCCATATAGAGTTGTGAGAGATCGTATCAAAAGCCTTTGCATAGTCGATGAAAGCTATATATAGCGGTTTGTTGAACTCTTTGTGTTTTTCTATCACTTGTTGAATAGCGTGAATGTGATCTGTTGTAGAAAAGCCCGAACGAAAGCCAGCTTGTTCTAACGGCTGGTATTCATCGATTTTTGGAGACAATCTGCTTTGTAGAATTGACATAAATAATTTGTACACGCTTGAAAGAAGACTTATAGGTCTGTAATTTCCTACGTCTTTCGGGTCCCCTTTTTTGTACAGTAAGACTATATCAGATCTCTTCCATTGATCTGGGACCTGCCCAGTGTCAAGAACTTTATTGAATAGGTGGGTGAGAGGACGTGCTAAAAGCAGGGAACCTGCTTTCAAAGCATTGTTGAGTATAGAGTCTGGTCCTGTCCCGCCTATCAGTAAGGTAACTGCAAATTGTGATATTTCCCATGCAATTGAAGAGATTCTCGATAGTGTTTTAACAATAAAACATGAAAGTGGGATTCCGAAGATCTCATTAGTTTGATACAGTTTACAACAAAGATGCGACGCGGTAAAACGACAAACAGACACGAACGGCCTCAGACAAAATTGACACCAGCAGCGGCCCTAAAGTTAGTCACATACTGTGTTTTATGATTTCTTTTAGAAAAATGCTCATCATACTAGTATAATCACACTTGCATCCCTTTACCTAGTACCTAGGTACAGAAATATAAACTGAAGCCTCTTTATAAAAAATGTTATATGTATTTGATGGGTCGACGTTTGCCCACTATCTCGCCTGGTGGTAAGCGATGATTCGGCCTACGATGGAGCACGTCTGCCCATAAGGAACCTATTCACTCGGAATAGGTTGCTTAAATAAATAAAAGAATTATCTGCCTCTATGTCCTCGTCTGTGAATCAAACGTCAATGTCATTTATAGTTTATTATTTTTGGTTAATTCAAAGAGTATAATAAGTATAGGGGGTTAATTGTAATATTTTTTACTCCTACAATTTGTTCATAGGTTACTAACTCGTAACTATGCCTAATAGTACAACTCTTTTCTTGCAATGTCTGATGGGCATGCAATGCAAGGACTTTGCCATAATCGCAGCCGACCAGACGAACACACAGAGCATTATCGTCATGAAACATGGTACTTAGTTTTGTTTGTTTAGCTTTATTAGTGTTGATACTTGTTGAATCATACATAGCCTTGTGACGTTTTGCTGACTGAAGGTGAGTAGAGATGTACATATTTAATAGTCATGCCATTTACATAGTACTATGTAGAAGGGATGAACCTATTCAATCAAATCCAAAAAATGTAAAATTATGTAAACATTTTGCCACCTTACCCTTGTACTCAGGGTCATCTCATGGATACTCCGTTATATGGTGTAGGTAAACATATCCCAAGGACTGCCTCAGCAAATGTTTTCGTAACAAAATTGTTAATAAGGAATATAGTTTTAGTACCTAATCATTAAATGTTTATGGGTACGGCAGTTACAGTTTTAAACTACTACTCTATACTTACCTACTTATTGAACGCTGTAAAAGACAAGTTTATAGTTGTTAACGTTGAATGAAAGAATTGATAATATTATAGACATTATTAGACAAGGATTTGTTTTACATTCTTAACAACGATACTTAATAATTAACATATTGTATCAAGAATATCATGTTTATAACTTAAACATTATTATAACTTTTTACAAACTGCCGTTACTCATATTTTATAGTTCACTTCTTGCAAAATAGCTCCATTGTGACATCACTTCTAATAACACTAGAATAAACAATATGACCATTAAAGCGAGGTTATAGCTTTTCCTGTAATAGTCTAGTGATTTGTATTGAATTTTCCTCTAGGTAGCATCCATTACAATCACTGTTTCATTGTAAGTAGGCACTTTGTCGAAGAGACGTGCAATATAGACATGATATTATTTTTATGTAGGCTGTATTATTTGTCATGATACGACGAAAGTATGAGATAAGAAAATACAACTGGGATGATTTGCTAATTGTAGAGAATAGAGATTTCTAGAATCCTTAATTGTTATTATTTGTACGAAAATCATTTTACTTGTAATTAAACCAATAAAATGGGAACACAAATACGGATGATGACAGAATTAAAAAAAAGAGATTCGTCCTTTTGCGAGTAGGTACTACTGAGAACCGATTCATTATACGTGGCCTTGGTCATGAAATACGCTACAGTAACTACATGTTATGAAGATTTTAACAACTTGAATTTTACAATTCAAACGTAAAAACATTTTGATAAGCTTTATTACTTGCTTATCACCTGTAAAGTAATTGTTATGGTTCAACAATCACAATGGAAAAACTGTAGTTAAAACAAAAATCTGATCGCAAATGAATCGCTCTGCCGCATACCAATTACCTACCAATACCGAATTTGACAAACTAAGATTGTGGGAGAGCCATCATGCTTCGGCACGAATGGGCCGGCTCGAACGGAGTGATACCACGGCCTCACAGAAAACCGACGTGAAACAACATTGTGTTTCATCGTGTGAGAGGAGTTACCGGACCCCTCTCCCCAATCTCCCCAACCCCCAACAATCCTCAAATTCCTAAGCCCCAAAAAGTCGGTAACGCATTTGTAACACTCCTGGTGTTTCGGGTGTCCATAGGCGGCGCCGATTGCTTACCATCAGGTGCTCGTTTATCGGTTTATTCCATAAAAAAAAAACGTATTTATTTAAGTTGTTCAACAATTTTTTTTACAATGCCTGTCTCCCATTAAGGTTGGTGATAAAAATGAAACGCCTAACAACAGTCCTATCTAAAACATATATTTTTTTCGCTTCACCCACATTCTTTATTATTATTATATTCTTTCAATTCTTCAGATGAGAACAAATTCTATCACATTTCGGATCAGCTGGTGATGGGCGTCATCGGAGACCCAGGAGACAGGGTGCAGTTTGCACAGTTCATCGCCAAGAACGTTCAGCTTTATAAGATGAGGAACGGGTACCAGCTCACCACACCAGCTGCGGTTCATTTCACCAGGAAGACTCTGATGGAAGCTTTGAAAACAGGGGTAGGATTTAATCATTTTGAAATGTTTAAAAATAGTTACATTACACTGTACATGTAGGTAATCATTGGGGAATGATTATCTTGTTGACGCAAGAGATGAAGAATGTCTGTAAAACACAGACACTTTATCTGATTGACAGGTTGTAAATTATTATCTCTCAAGATTTTCAGAATGTAGAGCATTGACTAATTTATTTATCGTTTTGTTTTCTACTGGGATTCCCTACAGACGACTGCACTCGTTAATAGTTTAGTCGCAAGTTTACCTATAAAATACGAGATATTCATTCGATCTTCTTGTCATAGAAAATACTTAGTACTATTGCGAAATTCTGAAGGCCGGCAATGCATTTCAAACTTTTCTGTAGTTGCGTGTGTCCATAGAGGGCGTCGCTTGCGTACTATCAAGTGATCCTTTTGCTCTTTTGCCATCCTACGCACTTAAAAAACTTTAGAAGACAGAATCTTAATCAGCATTGTGTTTGGCAGTAGAATAGAATCGGTTCGTTACTTAGTTGATTATTATGTATACCCACGCAAGCACACCTGTACCGTTCCTTTTAAAGAATAAAAGCCATGGTGTTGTACATAATATACGAACGAAAGTACAATCAGTACATTGCTAGATCAGCAAGTGGTGTAGGTACATAGTAATTATGTTTTCTGTTACACTTTCGTCAGTTTGAATGTTAATGTCATTGCTAATTACTGCACAGCCATTTAATTATCTTTTCAAGAGTAAATCGCTTCTGTATTTTAATTAAAGCGCGTCACTTTTGAAATTATTGTGCGTATCGGAGCTGTAATTTTAAAATGATGGACGTGATGATTTTTGCTGTATATTATAATAGTTCGGGTTAGTTCATGTGAATTAATAGTCTTTTTTAAGTCCTAATAATGTTGATTCCCCCTACAGAACCCATCGATGGTGAACATGCTGGTAGCGGGTTATGACCCGGAGAATGGAGGACAGCTGTACACCGTGGACTTTTTAGCTTCCAGCGTGAGGGTGCCATTTGGGGTACATGGGTTTGGAGGCCTGCTCAGCTTGGGCATACTAGACCGATTTCATAAGCACGGTTAGTAGTTTGCACTGTTGGGGTATAGTAAGATAATTAAATGCAAGTTTATACAATTAAGGTGTATCATATTTAGACTAAAGTATTCCAGTAAAATATTTTTTCTCCCCAGAAATGACAGAAGACGAAGCCTATGAAGTAATAAAACAATGTGTCTTTGAAGTCCACTCGAGGTTGTTCGTGAGTCTACCGAACTTCTTCGTGAAGATTATCAACAAAGACGGAATTAAGGACATGCCTATCATTACACCGGCTACGTATATATTGAAAGCTCAAGGTTAGCTGAAGCAAACTGTTGTGTTATATTATATGTACTATGATATAATGAGAAATAATTCATAATTGGACAGCGAGACTGAGGGACCAAAATTATAGTCAGCTTTTTAATTAAACTGCTATGAATGTAAAAGGCAGATAATGTTGCGGCATAATCTATGCTATCTATAGCATACAAAGTAAATAAGGTTAATGGTTTGTAAGTATTTGTTCTAATTGTTATGGCTCAAGACTTTCTGTCACAAGCGATGGGGGACAGACGTCCATCCACATCAACCATGACATTGTAAAGGAGAACTACGGAGACTGATGGTGGCTTCAACCTCCTTGGGTATATCCCAAGATGATGTAGAAAGTACAAGAACTGAGCGACATCTCTCGAAGACTTGAAAAAATTTACCTTTTAAAAATTAGAACAAATAGATCTTGGATGTAATAAAAAGTATGCGCAACTGTGCAACCACATTTTGAAGAAATATTTAAATTTGCAAAAATCCTGTCCAATTTGTCTATATTTAATTTTAGTGGAAAGACCAGTGTTGTTCGTGCTCGGTCAATTTAAGACAATTTTGACGTCATTCTTTGTATATTTGTTTAGCTTTTTATTATTTGCATTATAAATGGGTTTTACAGTTTACGTGTTATATTTATAGATCGTGTATTATATATGAAGTCTTTGCTTTGATTATTTATCATTTTTATATTTGTTTAACAACTAATATTTTCAAAAGCTCTTAATTGGAATTTTACCTGTCAATTATGTTTACAAACTTTGTATGGCGTTAATTAAATGTCTATTTAAAAAAAACATACTTTATTGTTTAGAAATAAATTAGATGAAAGGGATCTTTACCCTTTCGACTCGATTCGGTTTTTGTATCATTTTTTGTATTTGAAAATGGCCGAAGTCAAATAAATGAATAATAAAATTACATTATAAATTAACACCACACATGAGCAACATGTAAAAGCAATTATCATAAGCCAATATATTTTCTCACACACAGGAGATTAACTAACAGAGATAAGTCTTGGGATAACGAGAAGAATCTCATTATTTGTGGAACCAATAGTAAGAGAGAGTTAATAAATTGAGTCATCTCTAGTTTATCGTGGGGCTTTTAATAGCTCGTATAAATATGAGGCAAGATGTGTTAATGCGGGTTAAAGGTGCGGGGAAATTTTATGAGTGAATTATGTAACAGGTTATCTAGATTTCTGTACGAAAGTTGAAACCTAATTGATTTTAATTTGAATAATGTTTGAAACACAACATGGTGATGAAATTAACATAGAATTGTACTTTTTACTAGTTTCTTACCTTTATTGTAAATCCAGACTCAAGAATGTCCTAAAAATACTAATTACATATTAAACCGACCTAAGACACCGAGCTAGAAAACCTATGTTTGACATTTGTATTTCCTCGACAAAATACCTACATAATTATACGTAGAATATTACCTTCTTATACATTACCCGTAGTGTGCTTTAGTCCACATACTAACTACATAAGTAAATCCGAGGCCTTAGTATGAGTTTGATTTACGTTTAAAGTATTCGAAACGAGTTCGCATTCGGCGCTCTGATTGGCCGGCGCCAATGAATCAACCAATCACAGCGCCGAACGCGTACTCGTTACGATTACTTTAAACGTAAAATAAACTCGTACTAAGGCCTCAGAGTGCCGAACGCGTACTCGTTTCGAATACTTTAAACGTAAATCAAACTCATACTAAGGCCTCTGAGCTTGTTTTGTGACGAGCGGGTGATGACCTCGTGGTTATTTGACGAGACATCACATAACATCATAACAGAACATCACGCCTTTTATGCCTGAAGGTAGGCAGAGGTGCACATTACGGGATTTGATGCCACTGTACAATGTAACACCCACTTTTCAAAATTTATGTTATGAGACCATGTCCTATTACACGGTCTCATAACATAAATTTTGGGCTGAGCCTATTGCCATATACCGGGCACAATTCCAGACTCCGTACTACTACTGAGAATTGTTTAATATAACAATACTTTGTCCGACCCAGGAAATGAACCCGAGACCCCTTACCCGGCAGTCGCACTTGTGACCACTCGACCAACTGATTGACGAAAGACTGAAAATAAAAAAAACTTCTTAAAATGTGCAGTACGTGTGTAAACGTGCAGAAGACATTACCTAATACCACTCTAACCACTTTAAAGTCCTATTAACACTATAACTCCCGAGACATCCCTAAGTGAAGTCCCTAAGGAATGTCTTGGTTACATCATCACGATAACTCCATGGTGATGACGAAACTCTATGTTTGTTTAACACAATTTCCATTATTAATCATCTTACCTTAATCTGTAAGAACAGAGATAACACAATAGTTACGAAACACCATCATTAATGAAAATCCCAGAATTAGGTGAGGCGGCCCCTTGAATCTTGTGTTAGTAGGGATCTTATGAATTTCACATTTCGGTTCTGGAAGTATGTATAATCTATTGACATTTTTTTCGAATCCATCGTCACTCGGAAGATGTAACTACTAAACAAAGGGTTCCTTCTGTATATTCCTCTACGGAAACTAGATTTTAATAGAAACAGATGATCCACAAATGTCCGAAATTATTGAAAACTTTTATGTCGGATTCGGTTACCGTTACAAGTAGGTTTTTATTTTTATTTTTTTTTTTTTATGGAATAGGAGGCAAACGAGCAGACGGATCACCTGATGGTAAGCGATCAGCGCCGCCCATGGACACCCGCAACACCAGAAGAGTCACAGGTGCGTTGCCGGCCCTTTAAAAAGGAGTACGCTCTTCTCTTGAAGGTTTGAAGGTCGTATCGGTTCGGAAATACCGCCGACGACAGATCATTCCACAGTTTTGCTGTGCGAGGCAGGAAGCTACGTGAGAACCGCACAGTTGTGGCCTGCCAACCATCTATATGATGGGGATGCATATGCTGTCGTGAGGGTCGATGGCGAAAAGATGCGGCAGGTATCAGGTCAAACAATTCCTCAGAGCACTCCCCGTGGTATAAGCGGTAGAAAATGCACAATGAAGCTACATCTCTACGCATTGCCAAAGTGTCGAGCCGGTTTGAAACACCCGGACATCCAACAATCCGAACGGCACGCCGCTGAATGCGGTCCAGAGGAAGAAGCTGGTACTGGGGTGCCCCCGCCCAAAGATGAGAACAGTATTCCATGTGGGGCCGCACCTGTGCCTTATATAGAAGCAGGCGGTGGGTCGGGGTGAAATACTGCCTCGATCTATTGAGCACACCAAGCTTCCTCGAGGCTAATTTGGCCTTATCCTCTAAATGACCGCAAAACTGGACGTCGCTCGAAATATTGACACCAAGTATTCCAATACCGGCTGAGGCAGTTAGGGGGGTGCTTTGAAACTGAGGAGAGACGACCAACGGCAGTTTCTTAGCGGTAAACACGCAGACTTGTGTCTTAGTGGGGTTAAATTGGACCAAATTAAGTCCACCCCAATCAGAGATTCTCCCTAAAGAGGTCTCGATTTCAGACACGAGTCTGTTTCGGCTCTCTATGACGTTTTCCCGAGAAATGTTAGCGCGGCCGGTGTAGTAGGCATCGCCTGTGCTGTCATCCGCATAACAATGAATGCCGCTGATTTGCAGCATTTATTCCTCTTTAGCTAACCCGGCAAACTTCGTACCGCCTTAAAAAAAATTTCTCACCCTTTAAACCTTGCCTGGACTTCCACGAACATTTCAAGACAAAATTAGCCAAATCGGTTCAGTCATTCTCTACTTTCAGCGAGACTAATGAACGATAAATATGTAGTTTTGGTTACAGAGCTCCACAATACCCTTGGTGTAGAGAGAGACCGTACACTGTACAGTAGAGATAATCTTAGTGTGTAAATGTCTCCAAAGTTGATAATACAGTACTCACGACGTGCGACGCTCTCATTATCACACTGTACATAAATACGTAACATCACGCCTTACATTCCCTGAAAGGACAGGCAGAGGTACTCAATATTCTACTAATATTATAAATGCGAAAATTTGTGAGGATGTGTGTGTTTTCTCTTTCACGGCTGAAGGAATCGAGATAAAATTTAGCTGTTTCAAATTTGAGTAGTTATAGTCTGAAACAACACAAAGGCTACTTTTTATCCTAGCGGAAACGCGGGCGACGCTGCTGGCAGAAGCTAGTATAACATAAATTTACCAGTTAAGTCTCAAGATTGTAGCAACTTTATTGCCATCACCATCATCATCATATCAGCCACAGGACGTCCACTGCTGAACATAGGCCTACCTCAATAACTTCCAGATAGACTAGTTGGAAGCGACCTGCATCCAGCGGTTCCCTGCAACCTTAAAGGCCGCTTGACAAACAATGGTAAACATCGAACAACAAACAGCAAACACCTACATGTGGATGGGTGTTTGTATGTGTTTGCCTGTTCCTGTTTGTATTCGCCGCTGTTCGGGATCGGTGTCGAACAGTGGCGAACATAAACACAGATCAAGGGCTGTTTGGTAAACAGTTTGCGATGTATCCATACGCTTGATCCATACATACGTTCGTGTTTGCTATTTGCCGTTTTTGTTTGCCAAGGATCTGGACCCGGAATAATTAGGTCGTTCTGTCCACCTTGCGATTGGACGTCGTACTCTGCGCTGGCCGGTACGTGGCCTCCACTCGAGAACCTTTTTGCCTTATTGCCATGTATTTCTATAATCCTAGAGGTATAATACTTACTTTAGTTTCTACTAACAATACAACTATCATAGTTAAACTATGCAGTCTACATTTTCTGAAGTAGGTACCAATCTATGAATAGTAATGCAGATGTTTGGTGTGTGATGTTATGTATCGGTGATAAGATATGAAGGTTGCACGCCAAGGTGATGTGTACTGTCAACAGAACAGGTGGTGCTGAAATAGTATAGATTAAACACAACACACATTGTCTTGCATAGATCGACGATCGACGATCGTTCCGGCGTACTACGACTTCAGTTGTGGTTGGGTGTAATCGTG